AGCATATGCATGTGGTTAAGAGTGTGTGTATGTAAATTTCGGGGACAAAATTCTTTTAAAGGGGGAAGAATGTAAAATTCAGTATATTTAAACTTTTTACAAAAAGGGTAAAACGGTAAATTTTCACTACAGTACGGGTTGAAAATTTAAATTTTTTTAGATCTCGGATGACAAAATGAATCTCACCATTGGATTTGTTTCGCGAAATGTAGTTATCCTGTCAAATTTCATCGTATTCTGAGATAGTCAATTTTTTTGTATTTTACGAGGCAGTTGAGTCTCGGGTGAGCTAAAAACGAGATTTTTAATAAAATTTCAAAAATTTGAGAAATAATTTAAGGCAAATTAAAATAAAATTATTTTGAATTTGAACCGGGACAAAATTTAATCGTTTCGGGGCGAAAACGGACCCAGAAAAAATAGGGTCGTGTAGCGCCTTATGGGCTAAGCATTGAGAAATATAAATAGGGGGGAAAATCTGAATTTCTCCCCCCCCCCCCACACACACACAGCTGTTAGTCGATAGAAGAAGAGAGGGAAAGAGTTTTGATCCTGCACCTTCTTTCTACAATCTACAACTCCGCGGTGCTCGGATCCACTCGGGCCAAGAAGGAAAGGTGTTCTCCTCGACGTGGGCTACAAAACCATACCAAGGAGGTCGGTTTTGGGCGAGATTCCAAGGACAGGATTTTTGGGAGGAAAAGATTCTAGCTAAAAGCGGGTTCTTAGGACTTCCTATGGTCGTTCTTTATGCTTCAAGAGGTAAGGTTTCTCCTACTTGAGTTTATTTTACAACCTAGAGTGTTTTATGTAATGGGTAAATTGATATAGATATATATCACTTGCCTATGGATGTAGAATTGATGGAATTAATTGATTTGGTAAATTGGGTATGGGAAATTGACCTAATTTCAATTAGATTCTTAGGTTTGAATTGGTATGTGGTAATTACTTGTGTAATTCCATGGAACTTGATATGGTGTGGGCATGCTATGTGCTTAAATTATACCTCGTAAACAAAGTGAGTTATTGGTATATATGTGAGGAAATAACATGTTTTTGACTTATTATTGGAAATGAATTGTTGATATGTTTATTGATATATTGACATTATGATGAAATTGGTGATGATATGCATGATATATGTATACATGTGGTTAAAATTGCTCATATGACATTCATAACATATGGGCATGACATTGAGATAACAATGATAAATTACATTGCATATGCACGGAGACACCGCATTTTATGGGTGTGGGTGCATGGTTGGCATCAAACACCACGTAAGTGGATGATGGGTGGGCTCGAAAAAGTTGGATTGAATATCCGACTGAGTTGTACAATTTTATGAAAAAGAATTTGGTCGAGGTTAGCAAGAAGGGCTAAACTATCCCTCGGGTGAGAGGTCTGGTGTTCGAATACGCACTTTCGTTGGTATAAGAGCTCATAAAATGTGTCGGTGTACACGGAACCGTTAGTGAAAATCCATGAATTCCGTGTCGGTTGGGTGACCATTAGTGTAAGTCCATAAATACTCACCCCAAGAAAGATCCGAAGATTTTAAATAGTCATTGAGTGTGTAACACGAATGATGGGGGCTTGGAAAGCCCGATTTTGATACTTACTGCATAGCATGGGGTGAAGGTAAACGGTCGGAGCTAGAAAAGCTCAGTTTTATACACATTGGCATTGCATGTGTTGTGGAGTCGAGAAGGGCTCTGGTAAATTGCATGAATGGTATCATTTCATTTTGTGGCCTGACATGTTAGATTTCAACTTTGATTTGCTTAAATCTTGGTTGGAATGATTATTATTGGAAAATATTGCATGTGAACATTACATATGCACTTAGGTTGGGCAGTAGCCCCTATATGAAATACTCTACCACGCGTAGCTCACCCTATACAGGAAACATTTCAGGTGCGGGGTTTGTACTAGTAGAAGACTCACATTCGGGGCCTCAACGATGAAGAAAAGCCGATTTGTGGCTTTTGAAGTAAGTTTTTGTAAAATCCCATTTTGAGCATGTAATTGTGTAAATGGGCTTGTAATCATGTGGAATTAATGGGATAGAACTTGTATGGATCATGTAAAGTGTAGAAAACTATATTTTACATGTTGGGAATGAGTTTGGAAATATTTTGGATGAATTGAAAATGAAAAATATATGAAACAGACAATTCAGGGCAAAACCTTCCGAAAGGTTTGGAATAGAGAAAAGGAAAAACTGGAACAGTGGGTGAAACCTTCCGGAAGGTCTTCACATTTTCCTAAAATGAGGGAATCCAGTGTGTAACTTCTTCCGGAAGGTCGACACATCTTTCTTTAAAATAGGATTCCAGTATGCTAAATCTTCCGGAAGGTTGAGGAAACCTTGCGGAAAGTCGATGAGAAATCTCTAAAGGAACTTTTCCAGTGAGTAAAACCTTCCGGAAGGTTTTCCAAAAATCTGAAAATTTAAGAATGCATTACCATACTTTTGGGGCTATGTGTTCTTTGGTTCCAATGACACAAATGGACCTTAAAAGAGATACATTGAGGTGTATTGAACCTCGATGGGATTAAATGATTAAAGGAACACGGATTACACGTGTGAGTTATAATCTCAGACAAAGGGATATTATTGACGTGATGCCGGAGTGGGCAACAATCACGGGTATTTTCGCGGGTTGACGGGTGGTCAATGGTTAATAGAGGACCCCCGGATTTTAGGGTGTCACACGAAAAACCAAAAAATTCGTCTTCCTCAAATCTGGAAGACCTTGCTGATTTTGCATCCATAGAAGCTTTGCATAACTAGGAAGAGGAAAAAAACAGATAAATCTGTTGAAATTCTGCTTGGAAACACATTTATTGTTAAAACATCAGCTACACCTTTTACTTCCTTGTACACACGATCAATCTGGAAATCAAGTCTGCTCAAAATCCTGCGTGTATATTTTAGAACAGTCCAAAATTTTCAAGAGCAAATCACTTTACCCAACATCATATTTACCAAAACATGAGCACCTCCAACCCATACTGCTATAATTGTTAGTCCATCCAATAAAGTCATACCTCTCAAAATTTCCAGCAAACAACTTAATTTACCAATAAAAAAAATGATTGTATTGCAGTACAGAGAGAAAACGTAGCAGAGGGAGAGATGGAAACGTGACTCACGTCAGAAAAAGCAGTAAATTTGGCAGAGTTGACATGTTTCTGATAGTTGGCTGAGTTGTTTCTCTTAATTGGTGTTGAGTAGCAAGTGTTCATGCCACCTTGGAGTCGGTATATACATTGTCTCAAAAATATACAGATGCATCCAGGTTCATCGTAAGTTTATGTCCAAGAGGTTCAATGACTTGCCAATTATTTCATCTCGCTTAGTATTGTGTAGATTGGTAACAAACATTAATGCCAGATCCTTTCTAACATTTGACGACGATGCCTGTATACAATTTTAAGTGTTATAACATGTGCAAAACAGTTTATTTAAGGAAGAAAAATAAACATTTTTTATACTACACCTTCATTATAGTTTGCCCCAGATGAGGTTGATGGATCATATTGACAACGTGAATTTCACAATCATATCCATTGACCTCTTTGGGTGTCCAACTTGGTTGAATCACGGGCCATGTACTGATTACTTTTTCAAATTTTGTGTTAAACAGGCAAATAAGTTACCCAATGCCGCAACCTACGCAATCATACAATGCAATAAATTACACTTACCAAATCCACCTTCGAATGAGTTGCATGGACCATATTTTGCATTCCAAATTAGATCATACATACCACATCATCTACTTGCTTACATCGTGCGTGCTTCATTGTTCGACTTGGAAGAGTATCCAGTAGGAGGACTTCTTCCTGTTGTATGTCCACAACGTATAAGTACCAATGTTTTTGGTCATCGTTAATGGGGACATAGATCTACATAAGCCAATTGCAATCAGTACACTATGTTGACATACATACTTTGATAGATTATGATTTAGTAATGCAGAATCTGTTGTGAGTTTTTATCTAGTCAAACCTTCGCACACACGTCAATGTCATGGATGTATCAGCCACACATTCTCATGAGTTTTCGTTGCAGGATCACACCAGTTTTTCCCTCAGATGTAAACTAATTAACTGTTTACTACAATTTAAGGATTTGTGAAATTATAAAGACGTAACTTTATATTGAACATTAAAACACAAGATGACCATAGTGACTGAAGAAAATCACGTAAAACCAAAAATTTATTGTGGAGTATTACCGCAAACCACGTCAGAATATACCACCTGGCCTTCTGTGTGTCGTTGTTCCCCATTTCTATGTGTGGCATAATGCATGCAGCGACATTGATTAACTGTGTACAGAATTAAACATATTTAGAATTGCATACATGTATTCAATCGCCAGTTAATTCAAAAGTGGGTATAAAAAAATGGGAAAATTATATAACTCACCTCGCTCGGCAACCATTGTCTGGGTCCCAATGACTTCATTGTCATTTTTGTCACATGAAAATTTTTAAACTGAACAATCATCTCATTGTCAAATTACAACATGTAAGGTATGATTTGCATAAGAATTGCAAATAATAAACACCTTGGAATGGTAGTAACTGTGACATACTCTGCATCAAGTCCCTCATGAAAAATGTAGTGCAATATTGCATTTCCTACTTCATCACTAACATTAGTAATATGGGGAACCAATCCATCAACAACCTGAAAGTGGAGTGTCTGCCATTTTAGGTCCATGTGCACTAAAAAATTTAATTAGTTTAAATTTGTGTGTAAAAAAACCTTGTTCGTGCTGTCAGCCCAAACCTCAGTTTCATTGTCATCGAATAATCTCTGGTTCACATTTTACACCATATATAATATACAAAGCAGCACACACAAGTACTATGGTAAAGGATAACACGGTAATATAGTGTACTCACGTGGACAGACACTTTTGTAGGTTGTTCTCTCCCAATTTTACACATCTGTTCAGAAAGCGTTTCCAGCATCTTTTATATTTCAGTTACTTCATCTGTGAACTTGGCAGACAATGCTTCATGGTCGGATCGAAATTCAGACAATGAAACCTCAACCTTAGACAATCTCTTGTCAAAATCCTACATAACACATTGAAGTGGCACTCACGGAAAATATTATTAATATTGATTTTTATTGTTCTACCTCCATATATATCCTACATAAAGGTAACCTGCATGTTTTGCTCATAAGACACGCCTGTTGTCCTCACTTTACTCCTCGCATCAGTGACAGGAACACTTACTGAATGTTCAAATTTTGTCCTCTCATTGCGTCCATCATATTGGTCAGCCACAGTCAGTAACTCTTCAATTGTAACCATTAGCTACGATAATCCAAAGATTAGTTAATACCATACGATATATAAAACATATCTTCCATTATGAATAGAGAAAACAATAAAACTAGAATTAAAAAGTATAATATCCTTCATAAGTTACTCCTTATTTTTTGTAGCCACCCAATTTTTTCAATGCATTCATGCGTTGGCCTATTTCTTTGTCCCCCAAAATTGTCATTCGAGGGAACGTGACAGAAATGGAATGGATGATTCTCCCGCTAGTGTGACGCGCTCAAAATAAAAAATCTCCAAATGGTTCAATAACGTTCAAGTAATTACTACAAATGCCATGAATAAGAAAGTAATACAATGAATTAGCAAAAACGTAAATAATGCAATACCTGTAGCACAATGATACAACCACAAATATTACACCTTGATTTTTCCTTGAAATTTTGTATTCCATCAATAATACCATCATAAACAAATTTGCTCCAGTTTATATAAGATAATGCATTTACATCCACAAGGACTTTAGCGTATGAACTATTAATTGTCATTTTCATTGTTGGGGAAAGAAGGCGACCTATTATGAATAAAGCAAATAGGCGCCTAAAAGTAAATGAATCATGCTTCAATTTTTTCAGTTTACCACCCACAGTATTCAACGAGAGCTCCCTTTGTCCATTAAAAATTGATTTTTGAAGTTCCTCTGTTTGGTCCGAAGAACCAGTATTGTCCAACTCACTACCTGTGTTTGCCAACCCCAATATGTAATAAACATCTTCAGGGGAGAACTTAATTGATTTACCATGGACATGTAACACAGTCGTAGTGGGATCAAATTTTTTAACCAACCACTCGCACAAACTCTTCTTGACCACAGTGCATTTCATGGTGGTCAAACCTTCTAAACCCATTGCCTTAACTGCACGTTTCTGAGCGTCAGTTAACCCATTTACAACTTTTATGATACTTGATGGCAAACACCGTGTACCCATTAGTATCTGAATAGACATGTAATGCATCAAATAAAGATATCAAAACATATAAGTTATGTTATAATGCAGAGATAGTCCATGTTAATGGTGTGTTCATATTACATACCCTTCGTTTCGTCTTCCCAGTAACACCCGAATTCCCACCTTACGAAAATGCAGCGGCTACCATCTTGTCAGTCATACTATTCCCAACATCAACATTCGTTTTTCTCTTCATGGTTCAAATGTGCATATAACACACAAATATCTTGAAACAAAATGGAGGCCATTGGTAAGAGAAATGTTAGTAAGAGAATTTAAATAATATAGAGAAATAGAGAGAGATATAGAAAAGAGATACAGAGATGGATAGATAGAGAGAAATAGAATAGAGAGAAAGATACGAATTGGATTCAAATAATCTCCCTACAACCATATTCTGTTTTACTCAGGTATCTTTTTACCCTTTTTTATTCTTTATTTTCTCTTCTAAGCTAGTGTGTACAATCCCAAAAAAGTTACTAATTGGTTTGGGATAAAAATAAAAAATTAACAAATCAAATTCTAGAGTAACAACAAAAATTAAAAAACTAATAATACAAGTACAAGTCAAAATATTTTTTTTTGGTTATTAACTAGATAAACTAAATTAATCTAGAGATATTCCCGATAATAGAAAAATTCATTAAAATGAAAAAACCAGTGTTGAAAAAATGTAATGCATTGTCAAAAGACAGCCAAAAAAAAAAATTAAGCAAACAAGTAATTAACTACCATGGAATTGTTAAGTACAAATAGAGAGATTGTAAACAAATCCTCTCTCTCTCTCCCTTTCTATCTGTATATGATATGTGTGTGTTATAGGTTTTGTTGTATTCGTAGGCAAAATTTTCCATAACTACTCCACTAATTTCGAAAGTACGCCAAACACAATTAAGTAGGTCAATTTTTACAAGGAAAAATTACGTAACAGATGTGGAGATTACACAACTTCCGTGCTTGTACATACAAATATGCATGTATATATCAAATCTCTAACTCACATTATCAATTAAAAAAAACATTGACACAACCAAAATTCCTCAATTGCTTCCATGGCCCTTTGGGCAGAAATATTGGATTCGCTGGTATAGAAGTTTAATGTCTCATCTAAAAATGATGAAACACCAAATGCTCTAATATTTCTTTGGAAGAACCTAACCACTCTAAAATTTGTAACATACCATTTCTTCTACTTACACTAAAGTATTACATGGAATGGACAATGCTCGTGTGGAAATTGATTTTGGTCAATTGTTTTCTAAGATATTTTGCATCTCGCAAACTTGATTGTCAAATGTCCACTCAACATGGACACTTTTCAGTTGATCAATCAAATTAGGGAATGTAACTAACACAAAAATAAGGTACAATAACTTTGTCTTACGCGATATTATTAAAATCATAGAATCAGTGATAATATCATAAGTCATACACAAAGCTATAGTATACCCCAACCACGTTTGGTTTTCTTTGGTCGATCATGAATGACAAACCTATAGTATTCCCTATACAATCCACAAACAGTGCTAAAAATCCTCACCATATTCACCCCCAAGTATTGCAGCAACCAAATCTTACCAAATTCATAAGCAAAACACATCTAAAGATGGTAAATTTTATCAAAATCTAAATTCGTCTCGAAATTCCAAAAATCAACCTAAATTCAACATGCCGAATTAAAATTGACTTCCAAAAATTAATGTATTAACAAACCAACAAAAATTAATCAAAAAACCAAATTTTTCGTAAACGAAAACGAACCCAAAACAGCCAGTTGCAAACATATTTGAGAACCCAGAGAGAGAGAGAGAGAGAGAGCAAGAGAGATATACTTGTGAAAGAGTCTTGTCGTTTTCGAAGTGGGTCTCCAGAGTGGGTTGGCATGGTGGTGGGGAGAAAGGATGAAGGGGTGATGGTTGTGATAGACGTGTGGGGCTGTGGTGATGGCAGATCACCGTTGCCGGAGTGGGTTGCGTGGTGGTGGGGAGAATGACCTGGGAGGGGGCAGTGGTGTAGAGAGAGAGAAGGGTTAACAGAGAGATAGAAAGAAATACAGAATGCAGGGGGGAAATTAAACAAATGGGAAATGAATAGCGGGAGTGGGTGGGTGGGAGTTCTGTTTTAATGGAGTTAATTTACAGGAAGAAGTCAAAATTAATTTTGAATCCGCATGTGTTAACCCGATGTGCGTCCAACCGGTGTAATCAAAAATTAGTTATGGAGGATCCTAATTTTATGACCCGACCAACCCAATAGATGCATCTTCAATGCCATTAAAAAACTTCATTCAATTAAGAAGTACATATCCCAACTACCAAATAATGCAGTTATCATTTTCTTTAAACTAAATCCAAAAATTTCCTAAAGAAGTCAACATACCCAAGTTCTGTAAACACTACAAGTGCAGGAAAGATGCGTATTGGATTCAATTGATGTCCCTATAACTATACATCTTTTTATTCAAGTATCCAACCTTTTGTAATAATGTGCTTATTATAATTGTGGTATATATGCAATAGTTTGTTTATTAATAAATTATAGAAGTACTATATTGCAGATAGTATATGCAATATTGTATTGAGTCAATGATCAGGTATTTTACATTTTCAGATATAAATTGTGTCAAAATTTAGCAAACATTTTTTAACTCCACCTATTTTTGTAATTCCATAGTTGGACTAATGGCGGGTACGATCGGTGACAAAGGTAAATGTGTACTAGTAGATCTTAATGTTGTCGTAACAAATGATGAGTATGAGAATCATATGCAAAATGATCAAACAATTTCTGATCATGGTGTCGAGGAAAATAGAGTTGATGGGTTGACAGTTGGTGAGGTAATGGAAATGACGTTCACCACACATGAAGCGGTTGGGGAGTTTTACAACAATTATGCAAAATTTTTGAGATTTAGTGTTCGAAAGGATGACTTGAAGTGTAACAAAAATAAAATTCCTATATCAAGATGGTGGATTTGGTCAAGAGAAGGTTATCGATCACCTAAACACCTTGACCGCAGTGACTGCATCCGGGAATCAAGAGGCTTAACAGGGGTGGGATGTAATGCATCTTTCGTGTCAAGTTTGACAATGGGTCAGAACAATGGGTTGTAAAGGAATTTGTCTAGGAACATAATCACTAATTGGTTACACCACGTGGTGTGTCATTCCTTCAATTGCATAGGCGTGTAAAAAGTCCTGATAGAGAACAAACAAATGCATTGTGTAATGTTGGGATACATACAAGTCAAGTAAGGGATTTTTTGGTGCAACAAGCAGGAGGTTATCATAATGTTGGGTTTACCATGAAAGATTTGTACAATGATGTTGCGATAGAATGTTGATCACAACTTCAAGACGGTGATGTGAAAGGGGCATTAAACTACTTTAGTGGAAAAAAAGAATCAGACCCTATGTTTTATTTCAACTACAATCTCCATGAAGATAATTCACTAAATTGTTTGTTCTGGGCAGGCTCATCCTCACAGCTTGACTATACATGCTTCGGCGATGTCTTGGTATTTGATATCACATACCGAACTAATGCATATAAGAAACCTTTTGTTATACTTGCAGGTGTGAACAACCATAACGCGACATCATTTTTGGGTGCACCTTGCTCTCAAATGAGACTGTTGCGACATACATGTGGGTATTGTATACTTTTCTTCATGCAATGGAGGGTAAGACACCTATTTCAGTTGTCACCGATGGTGATAAGGCCATAGCAGGACCAATAGAGCAATTTTTCCCCAATTCAACACACAGATTATGCAGGTGGCATTTGACAAGAAATGCGTTGTCAAATATTAGTGCTGAAAATTTTGTTCAACAATTAAAACATTGTATATGTGGTCGCTGTAGTCCAGAAGAATTTGAGGATCGATGGAAAACGTTGGTGGATTCATTTGGATTGGAGAATAATAATTGGATATCAGAAGTTTATTCCAAACGGTCAAAGTGGGCTGAAGCATATTTAAGAGGTCAATTCTTTGTCGGCATAAAAAGTACACAACGATGTGAGGGTATGAACTCATACTTCAATCATTTTCTGAAGACCCGTCTCCGACTTTTTGAGTTTGTGAGGCAATACGACCGGGCTTTGGCAAAGATCAAGGAGAATGAAGTAAATGATGATCATGATATCCAACATGCATCCCCGGTGACAACCACACAATTGCGGTGTCTTAAAGAGCATGCATCATCCATATATACAAGGAAATTGTTCTTCAAAGTGTGCAATAAGTTGAATTCCGAATCCATGTTCTTTGTAGTCCAAAAAATTGACAACGGGATCCATTGGAGTTACTACTTGTCTCACTACACGCAACCAGAATCAACATGGATTGTCATATGTTCTCCTAAAAATTATAGTATGAAGTACAACTGCCTGAAAATGGAATTTGTTGGTATTCCATGCTGCCACATCATAACAGTACTAAAATATGAGCACATTAAATGATTCCCTCCCAGTCTCATTCTGAAGCGCTGGACTATTTTTGCAAAGGGAGATTTAGGAAATGATGATATGCTGCTAAGAAGTAACACTCTGACAATTTCGACCCGTATGCTGGACTAATGGTCATGTGTAGTCGTATGTGTTACTGTACTTCGCATGGTTACAAAGCAACTCAGGACCTAAGAAGTACATTGCATGGATTAACCTCTCAGATGAAGACCAATCATGAATCCCTTGGTAGAGTAGAGGAGACCTCTTCACAACACAAAAACAGGACTACTGAGTTAAATAAGTTTGGGGTAGCTGATCCACATATTGTTACAACAAAGGGACATCCAATTCGTACACTAAATAATAATCCATTTACGTCCCAAAATGTAGCAAGTGCAGGGCAACCGGGCATAATATTCGTAAATGTCCTTTGTTCACAACCCAGACTACTGATCCATATGAGGACATGCCCTTTTCACAAGCAGGTGGATCCCAACAACCATTGCCGACTCAGGAACCTTTTAACCCATTCGCATATGTACGTAAACATGGGTGGAGTTCAATAACATCTTTATAACACAAACTTCCCCTTGTATTTGCTACTTTATAAGTTATCAAGCAATGCACCATTTAACTGACCATTCTTTATCGATACATTGACCGTTCAGGATGGCTTTCATGACTTTCAGTCAGGTGGTCATGGACAATTTTTCACTCCACTTTAAGGGTTGTCAAGGTGACCATTTTCATATCGCTTTGAAAATTGCATAATGAACATTATTTAAATTGACTAAAAATTCAAAAAAAAAATTTCACAATGTAGAACCCCCACTTTTGGACAAGTTTGATGTACAAAACTCATTTTTGGACAACTTTCATGTACACAAATTATGAGTGACAAACGTCTACAATTGCTATTTAACCAACACGAACCAGGTGGGATTCACTTACTGTTATATTACTAATCTCATTTACATGTTTATCCTCTACACGTTGGCCTATCCAACTGATCGATATGTTGTTGCATTCTTTTTCCAATGTATGTTGCTTTGTTGTTGAACTAACAAATATTATGCACTATTTCACTTATGTCCAGTTGGTATTTTGGTATGGGGAAATATATGGAATTTTAGGAGGTAAACAAAGATGACTGAGAGGGAGGAACTACTACTCTATACAAGGGTCATTGCTTTGTTGTATTACTCCTGTTAGTGGAACAAGGCAACCTTATAACAGTTATAATCTTTAGGGGTGAGGTTATAACATTTTGATGAGAGGTTACTACATGTTTATGTAAGGTTACTACATTTTGATGTTAAGATAATATTGTAATGTTGTTGGATATAATGAATTTGTAAAAAATACTATTAACAACCATACAAAAAAATATTTCATTCCATTGCTAAAAGATTTTGTTTAACAGAATTGATTACATTTTATAGGTTACAAGGTGGCCAAATCTAATAAAGCCCAAAAGATTTACAAGCATATACATTCATAGGAATTTCTTCCACACAAAACCCATCAACATTTCTTTCCATACTTTTTAAATTCCTTGTAAAGTCCATCAATCTTACTCTCCAACTTTTCCAAAGATCCCTTCATGCATTCTTGAATGGCATGCAACTGTGTGGCCAAAAAATTTTGCACAGTTACTATTTGCTCCAGCTTTTTTCCAATAGTATTCATGTTGAATGGACTGGCACTTGAACCCTCGCCTTCTGTCACAATAATGCCCTCAGTTTGGGAGTAAGACACCTATGACACAGTCTTGGCACAATTTCTAGGCCCACCATGACCAGCACTTTTTTTCATAGTACCCTCATTTATCATACTCATGGCAGCAGTATAAGATTAGCCAAGTTCAATCACAACCCCATAAAACTTCACAATATTTGTAATCAAAATAGGAAATGGAAGACTTCGCCTACTATCCTGTAACTCATAGGCATTCATAATCAGCTGGAATATGTAATGGGGAAGGTCAATGCATGCCCCTTTACCAATCGCATATAGAAGTTAAGCTCTATCATATCCAAGTTCAGTTGTATGTCCTTTGGGATCAATGTTACAAGCAACTATTATGTTTAACATCCTACAAGGCAAACAAAAGTCTTTCGGATAAATTTTACTGTTCTCATCCACCCATTCGATAGCAACATCAAAATTGTCAAAATAACCGTTTCCATGCTAGGGACTTCCTCTTTACTTTTGTAAGGAAATACAATGGTATTCTCACTGATGACAGACCTGGGAACTTTCAACATTTTTAAGATAAAATCAAGGAAAACTTTTATTTCTTTACCCCAAACTACAGATTTCAAAGTGTGCCCAACCTTATCAAAGTTATGTAAATTTGCATAAAACAATCTAACCGCATTGTTATATGTCTTATCATCCTTCTTAACATCAAAGATGTTCTCCCAATTACGACCTTCAAAAAACTTAGGACACTTGGTATTAACTAACTCACCAAGTGCAACACCTCGTTCCACTAACAATGGCCGATGACAAAAACAGGTTTCAAACAATGTTTTTGCTTCTTCGTTCAAGAAACTAGTTTCACCTTTCGAAGTCTTACCTGTTTCACCACCCTTCTTCTTCTGGGCATTAACGACTTGCTTAGTCGTCCCATTCACTGCCTTCCTCTTCTTTGTCGCTCCGGCTGTTCCTCCGGCCATATCAATCTACAAGGGATTATAGCTTC